TCTGTGTATGTCCACTTGCCTGCTAGAACAAAATACCATAGACTAGATGGCTTGTAAACAACACTAAAAATTCCAGCCTCTTAGTTTTGAAGGGACATAACATTCAGGCACCAGCACGCTCTAAGCACTTCACCACTGAACTGGGGATACTATTTTATAAATGTGTAGGCACCAGGAAAAATATCCAGGTACTTTCTTATTACCTGAATAAGACCAAGGCAGATCACTGATTTTCTACCTCCAACTTTTACTGCATGGGTGTGTGAATGGAGTAAATGTTAGATAATACATGTAACTATATATACATATATAAGGCATATATTGGATGTGTATAATTATATGTTAGGCATATATAGTTACATATTAAAAGTATAATTATATATTAGATTATATATACACTAACATACATTAATGTAATTGTATATATTAGCCATATAGAAAAATATATGAATAGTTTGTATAACTATCACCATCTACAAGAACCAAAGTCATCAGCCACTACAAAAAGGTTAAGTCAAAATTCTCTCTCAGCCACTAATATTGAATAAAGCAATACCATCGAGGAACTTGAACTCCCTAAACAAAGTCTCTTTTTTTCCTCTTAAGTACCCTTAGAATGATTCCTGCCCACCCATTGACAAGTAGTAGCACTGATTGAAGTCCACTTTCTATTGTTTTGAAGTTTTCATCTCTTACGTGGAATACTTTCACTTCAATGAATAAAGACACTCTATACCCATGTACTTCATCACAGGATAACTTTGATCTTTGGTATAAATAATGATAGAATTCTGCACAATTTTAGTCAATGCAGTAAAAAGTAGAACATCATGACAAATATACACAGGCAACATCTTAGTCTGTTTGGGTTACTACAGCAAACTACAATAAATTAGGTGGCTTATAGCAAACAGGATTTTGTTTCTCATTGTTCTGGATGTTGGAAGGTTCTGGATGATCTTGGAAGTCCAAGATCAAAGTGCTGGCAGATTTGGTGTGTTTACGATCCATCTCCTGGTTCACAGATGAAACTTTCTAGCTATGTCCTCACATGGTGGAAAGGGCAAGGCTGCTCTCTGGGCCTCTTTATTATTAGAGGACTAATGCCTATGATGAGAGCTGTACTTATGAGCTAATCACCTCTCAAATGCCTCACTTCCTTATACCCTTACCTTGGCAACTGGATTTTGAACATATGACGTTTTGCAGGGTTGCCACAGAACCATTCAGACCAACACAGATGGAAACATGACATAAAGGATAAACCTGTTTCAGTGGAAACTTACTGTACATTTATGAGATGATCACAGAGAATGCTGTTGTAAAACTCATCATTTGAAGAGAGTGATTATTTGTCCACTGTGAAAGACCATATTGGGATGGGTGCCTCTGTAGGAAGAACACCCTGTGTCTTTTCAAGTCATTGAAAAGTCAGCCCACTTCAATGACTTCCAGACATAATTTAATCACATACATTGAAACTCTATTTTTTATAATCTCAAATAGACATATTTATAATAATATATGCACCATATATACAGTTCACCATTTCTTATCTATGCAGATTTTTAAAGACTCATAGAACTTAATCTATTTTCAGAGTTGAAAGGGATCTTTGATGTTAGCCAGGCTTTCAAGCTATTCCTACATAGATGACTCCCCTATACCATTCATTCCAGATAATAATCCATTCTCAGATCCAATCACCCATCTAACCATATTTCATGTCCTTCATAGGCATTCTTTCAAATTTTGAATATCACGACTCACACGACAAACATTTTTCCCCCTAAATTGTACTCAAAAGTTTCTCTGTAACTTTCAAACATAAATCTTACTTTTGAGACCCATGAGATATAGGTCTGAGGTAGTTATCACATTTTGAACAACAACAAATCCTAAAGTAAACGTTTCTTCCTATTTGGAATTACATCTTTGTCAGCCTCTTCTAGGTGATTACTCTCCTCACTAATAATAGTCAGGAAAGAACAGACTGTGCCTTTTGCATTTTGATTGGTGCAGCTTCCCAAAAGACTAAAATCCTTTTTTTTTTTGCATTGTTTCTCCACTAACATTAATATAGGCTAATATCGTTTATAGGATTATTTTTATCAGCCATAATCAAAGTATTGACTCACATTAAGTTTGAATGAAATAAGACCACAGGACCGTCCTGGGCATCAGGGTTCCTCTATGTTACTGATTTCTGAAATATAATGCTTTTATCATATATCTCTATTATATTTTATGCCATACTTTGGATAAAAATCACAGATTTTTGTTATTTATTAAAATCTTGACTATATCATTTAATATATTAGTTTGCCCTTTCATATTTTTATCATTTAAATTAAATACGAGTTCTCGGTATGTTATTCCTGAAGACTGATAAGAATAGTGAATAAATATAGAACCCTGAAATTCCCTCACTGAAGGAATAATTCATTGAATTTGGTAGATCAATCAGCAGTGAGTCACCAAAGGTGTTGTCTTGTAGCCTGAGTTACATATGCTTGTCAATAAAATGAAAATATTTTCCTCAAATATTTTGCTGGGATAAAAATGCACTACCTCTAACATTTTAATCAACTACTGAACCAAATACATCACAGCATACTGTTTTAATCCGACATAAAACTGGGGGAGATGTTTGACACTATGATGGTGTCAAGACTTGAAAGACTGAGTGACATTCAGTATTTCTGGTGTCCTAAAATTCCCCAACTGGGTAATTAAAAGGGAATTTAAAGCCCAAACTATTTATTCGTTATACAAAATAACTGTCTAACACACTTAACATTTACGAATTTAAAACAGTATTGGCTGCTCCGCTTCTGACAATAAGAGAAATCATTGAAATTTCAAAAATATTGTATTGCCTTTTCTAATAATACAAAAATACATAGTTGTGAAATACAAGGTGCTTATTTCTTTTCATTTACAGTTTTTTTTTTTTCAACTTTTGTTTCAGATTCAGGTGCACATGTGCAGGTTTATTATACAGGTAAAATGTGTGTCACGGGAGTTTGGCGTACAAATTATTCCATTACCTATGTAATAAGCATAGTACCCAATAGGGGTACTATGATCCCCACCCTTTTCCCAACCTCCACCCTCAAGTAGGTTCTGGAGTCTGTTGTTCCCATCTTTCTGTCCATATGGACTCAATGTTTAGCTCTCACTTATAGGTGAGAACATGTGGTATTTGATTTTCTGTTACTATACAAGACTTCTAAGGACAATGGCCTCCAGCTCCATCCATGTTGTTGCAAAGTACATGGTATCATTCTTTTTTATGGCTACATAGTATTCCACAACACAAAGTTTCTGTGATTTGCCCTTGACTCTGGATATCACCCGTTTTTATATTTTATGTTTTAAATATTTTCTGAAACTTCTCCCATTTACTATCTACCCAAGCAACTCTCTCTCCTTACCTACTTTAATTGGAACTCTGAAGTCACAAACCTATTAAAACTAAATGGGTCTGCAAGAGAAGCTTACCGCATTTTCTTTATGCAGTCTAACATGGACAGGCATCTCATTTGATTCCATGCCTTTGTTATGGGAATAGTCTGGGGACAGTTCCGTGATGAACACACACATGCATGTGTCTTTATGACAGAACGATTTATACTCAGTATTGGGATTGTTGGGTCAAATGGTGGATCTGTTTTAAGTTCTCTAAGAAACTGCCAAACTGCCTTCCACAGTGGCTGAAGTAGTTTACATTCCCACCAGCGGGGCATAAGTGTTCCCTTTTTTTCCACAACGTCACTAGCATCTGTTACTGTTTGACTTTTATAACAGCTATTCTGAGGCCAGGAAAGTGGCTCATGCCTCTAATCCCAGCACTTTGGGAGGTCGAGGCGGGCGGATCACCTGAGGTCAGGAGTTTGAGACCAGCTTGACCAACATGGAGAAACCCCGTCTCTACCAATAATACAAAATCAGCTGTGCGTGGTGGTGCATGCCTGTAATCCCAGCTACTCCGGAGGCTGAGGCAGGAGAATAGCTTCGGGAGGCGAAGGTTGCTGTGAGCCGAGATCGCACCATTGCACTCCAGCCTGAGCAACAAGAGCAAAACTCCATCTCAAAAAACAATAATAAATAAATAAATAAATAAAATAACAGCTATACTGACTGGTGTGAGATGGTATCTCACTGTGGTTTTGACTTGGGTTTCTCTAATAATTAGTGATGTGGAACATTTTTATATGCTTGTTGGCCACATGAATGTTCTTTTCAAAGTGTCCGTTCTTCTTTTCAAGAAGGTACTTATTTCTTAAATGTCACCAGGTACTTATTTCTTAAAGCTAAATTTCTCAGAATTCTTTCTCACTTCCATAAATTTGCAACACATGAAATATTCAGGGTTTCTGACAAATATTCAGAATATATCTATTAGTATGACTCATTATTTATTAGAACATAACTTTCTAAAGTTTATTTGATTTGCCCTTGACTCTGGATAGCACCCATTGTGCTGTTTTAAATATTTTCTGAAACTTTTCCCGTTTATTATCCACCCAAGCAATTCTCTCTCCTTACCTACTTTAATTGGAACTCTGAGGTCACAAATCTATTTGATATAAATGGGTCTGCAAGAGAAGCTTACTAAAAAGAACCTACCAAATATTTTTATGCAGGTTTTTAAAAATTTAAACCCAAACTTCATCAGAAGCTGCTGCATCAGTTCCATAGGCTTTGTAAGAGCTAAACCAAAGACAAATGAAATTCATCATTTCCCAGTTGAATACCGTGAACTGTCTTAGGAAAGGCTATGATGCCTATGTTGAAATAACAAAGCAAAATGTAATATGTAACTCTTTCCTGTCACGGATCAAAATGAGAAAAGGGGGACCTTAGTGGTTTAAACGACGTATTAGAGAATAGCCTGCTGTGCTCAAACTGTGTGAAGAAAACACCGTTAACAGCTTACGAAACTGGCATCATATGGCATATATGAAGGAAAAATAGTCAAGTGCAGAGAATCTTACGTTCTTGAAAGGATGTGAAGAGCATCTGAAATCGGCTGTTTCGGCTGCCCTCATCTGCCCACATGCGGATCACCCCAAGACCCGTGCGTAGCATCACATCATTAGCCACAGTGCTACAGAACTTAGCTTTCAAATCCTCCACGGAACTGCTTCCATCATACACAGCCACAAAATTCCTCTTGCATTCATTTGAATTCTGCATCTCATAGTCCAAGAAGCGCAAGTAAATCTATAAAACAAAAATGAAATAATTTCCACATATCAAAATATGAATGTACATCAGTAAGTACCAGAATTTCTTTTTTTCAGTCTCACAAGACAATCCTGATTGCAATCAATCTTACTATTTTCCCCTGTGAATAGAAGGAAAATGTACAATAAGAACAAATTGTGTTTAATATTTTTTTCAAATGCTATTATCCTTTCTTTACTTAAATGCACCATTTTCTAGAGCTGAGTGTATTTACCCAAATTCACTTTATGTCTTCTCATAACTTACTGGAAATCAGTTATTAGTTTTGCATACTTACACACTGTTTTACTTTGATTAGCAAAATGTATTTGAAGTATTCCTGATACATTCGTGTTTCAGTTCCATGGCTTCCTTTTACTTCCAAAAATGTACAAAAAATATGCGATTTTTATTAATACCAAAGAAAAACAGAAATAATACTGAAAGACAGTCTCTGGTTTGTTTAATTAAGTTATTTGACATAAATACACTGCTTCATTTTTGAGGCGAAGTATAATGTTTTACAAAAAGGCCAAGCTAGTCTCTGACCATTCATGGCATATACAGAGAAGCTGTTTAGCTAAGCTACATAAATAAAAATTATGAGTAAAATGTACTGTGCAACTTGCTTTATATGTTACTTTGTAATACTTCCAACAACTCTATAAAGTGGCCCATTTTATTGTCATATTCAGATGAAGAAGCTCAGACTCAGATGGTATAAACTGAAAATTAGACGTGAGCATCCTCACTTCCTGGTCCATAACTCTTTTCACAACGTTACGCTGCCTTAGGTGTACTGCTTTTCAATCAACAGGCATTATTTGACTCTTTACTAATGTGCATTCAAAATCACAAGGAATTCATTCAACCAAATACACGTCTATAAAGAAATAATTTGTTCATGCATCCATCGATTCAGTGGCATCCACAGTTTTGCCTATGATTGTTGCAGACACTATTCAAGGCATTGTGGATATCACGGTGAACAAAAGAATGAGGGCCAGTGCTGAAAATGTGTGTCAATTAAACCATGACAATAAGATACAATGTCAAAGAATGGAAATTATATAAAGCCAAAAGACCCATGCACTGTGAAAGGGATACCTAGAATGGTTTCCTAATAAAGACACATCTTTCATACAGATATCTCCTAAATGTTTTACATTTTATTTTAATATGAATGCCTACATGCTATTTCCTCTTAAATGCATTTTTCTTAATTTAGCATGGATATAAACTAAAGACATGGCATTCAATCAAACATCTATCTCCTTCATCACTCTCTACGTATTTTTTTATTATTTTGTAAAATCTGAAACTCATAAGACAATTTCTTCCAGATCCAGTATGTCTAGCCTAAATTTTATAATTCCACTATTTAAATCAGTGAAAATGTAGCTCTTGTCCTCAATGTTCTTACTCAACAGCGCACCAGTTCCTGTCAATTTCCCCTTTAAACTACTTGTTTTCCATTTCCATTCACACTTCTATAATATTTCAACACTCTCCTGACCAGCCTGGATGGCTGCAAGATGCAGATTCTCCTTACAACCCCAAAGTTTACTCTAATAAAACTAGTTTACTCTAGCCAAAGTTATATTTCTAACAAACAAATCTAATAATCACAGTCTTTTAGCTAAAATTTGTAACTCGTGTATAATTTTTAAAAAGTCTAAAAACATCAACTAGCAAATTTACACCCTTCTTATCTCTAACATTGTAACCATTCTCAAAAAAGACACCCTTTATGAACATGACATTAGCTTCACATGAAGTTGTCATTCTCCATCTTCTGTCTAGGAACCTCTTCCTGATTTGTCAAGAGTTAGTTCAACGGTTGCACATCCAAGGAAAGGTTGTCACTGCTCCCACTCCCCCATCACAGCAGACATAACCTCTGTAGCCTCTATGTGATTTTGAACATATTTAAAGCCATAGTTCTAGGTTACAGGTCCCTTCTAATAAACTTGTGTTCCCGAAAAGCTGAAGCAGTGGTATACATTTTTGTATTCTAAGCATGAATACATATTTTACACATAGTAAACACTCCAGAAATGTTTCTGAATGATTAACTAACTGGAAGTTTCATTTTCTTTATTGAATTCCTTTGTTCAGCATTCATATTTATTCTGCGCCTATATGACAGACATTTAAGTATTATAAACAATGATAATGACATAGTATAGTCTTATTTTATTATATACAGTGGAAATGATATGCAATCATTCTCAAAACAAGGTATAATATAGATCTAAATTATGACATAAAAGGATAAGACAAAATGTCGCAGACTTGTAAGACTCTGAAGATAGAATGTGAAGTTCTAAATGAGGAAATCCAGACACAATTTGATGAGAAAGAACAAAATCAGAGAAATGTGGGCAAATGAATCAAACGGAACAACAGCGGAAAGCACCTGAGTTGTATTATGCTTTGCAAGGCAGGACGATTTTCATATATGAGCAATTTGTCGCATTGAAGTTGAAAGTTATTCTAAAATTTCCAAATACTTTGATGCTGATTTAAATTACGGGCCATTGCCACAGCCTTATAAGAGACACATGCCCCAATGAGGCCTTCATTTTCGGTATGCCCAGGTTATTCCTTTGTTTTATTTTATCTAAAACTCAGATATTACTCATGCAGTCCATCTGTGATTTCTCCTCCCAACACATATTTCATTTCTAAAATTATTCGAGAATTTCAGAAATATCCAGTTTAAGAAGGTATATATGCATCTAAAAATGTGAGACTTCCAAGTTTATACTAACTCGTTTGTTTTTTAAATGTTAACATGACTTAAAAAAAGATTTTTTTTTTCCAGATGACCTTTATTAGAAAGCTGAAGCAAAGAAGAAAAAAAATAACTTGCTTCAGGACCATAAGTGAATTAACGTGGGAACCTTAAAGAGGATTAAAATTTCCAACTCTGGTTTTAAGGTTCTTTTCATCAGGTCACATTGCCCCGTTCTGACTAAAAGGAAAGAAACTGAAAACACTGTAAAAATAAAAAGTAAAATCTAGGTATTATACAAAATGGTTAAATGGAACAAAAATTCAAGTATGTACTTACACTCTAAAATACTACGCAATAAATTCAACAAGTTTATCAGCTCTCAAAAAAGATGCAATTATAATTGGAAGTAAACATTGTCATAAGCAGGAGAACACAGATTAGGGTAAGTAAAGAGTGCTTTCCACTCCTTTGAAGTGTAATACGAAATGACGCGTCTCTCCCAATAGCCTTACAAAGTTATAAAAACCAAGTATTAAGCCCACAGGAGGAAAAATCTTTAAATAATTGCTTGGCTAACACAAAAAAGCTATTAGACCACCTGATGTTTTCAAGTTGAAATGTTTCAGTGGCTCAACGCGTTTCAACAATTACTTAAAATTTCTAACACTGCATGTCATGTAGAAACACACCTTAAAATACTATTTCATTGTTAGGAAAATAAAGTTTGTGTGTTATATTGACGATAGCTTAAGACACTGCTAATGCATCATTTCAAATCTCTCAACAATAGATACTTGTTATAATCATTTAAGATGAAGAGAACTGAAGTTTACAAAAATTAAGTAACTTTCTCAGAGTGACATAGTAATGTCACTTAAGTAACGGACTGGTACTGAAGTCAGATCTGCCTAACAGTTGGACACTCATCACACTATGCAGCCTTATGTAATGTTTTTAAATGCTCACAGACTTATAGCCCAGAAAGAAAGTTATATTTTTAAAGAAAACAAGCTAAAATAAAATGAGTAATAAAATAAGAAAGCAAATCAAAACTATTCACGTTTCCTAATGAGCTAGAAAAGATGTTGACTATCAAGTTATAAATAAAATTTATAGAAAATAAATGTGTCCCTCAAAAATAAATGGCTGTTTTAAATTCTTTAAAAACAGAAATATTTTAATAAGAATATTGCTACAGTTAGAAAGTCAGTTTGCATATGGGCCTTATATTTTTTTGATTTGACAGTTCTATATTTTCCGTATGAGGTGATGGTCTTGCATTTGTACATGAAGTGCAATCACTGCTACCTAAGTATCTTCTATATTTAAAGGACCTGCTTATTAAATAGAACACTAATTAGAGAGTAAGTGAATCATTGCAGTCACTAGATTCCAAGTAATCACTTCTGAAGCATTCAATAGTGCTTACCTAAGATCTAGTGACAGCAACGATTTTTTTATCATATAGAAAAAGAGAATATACTTTACTGGGTCCAGAGCTGTCAGTACAAAAGCCAAATTCCATTAGCCAGAGGAAGTGATCACGCTTTCCCATGCTAACACTAGCATATGCCATATAAAATCTCTCTATATATTGTGATTTGAATGACTATCTCATTAGCTTAAATCTTGTACCATAATAATGCTAACAGAAAGAATTATTTAATGTAGCAAACTACAGAAAGTACGTTAGTCACTTACTGAAAAAAAAAAAGAAAATGATAAACAGAGTAATATATAACACTAGTAAAACAGATTATCATCTCTTCTCAGTGAATCATTTTGATGCATTCTTTTAAATCAATCATAAAGAGTTGGAGCTGACAAGATAATTTATTGACCAGGACACGGAAAACTTCACAACATATACATAATTTCTAGTAATATCTATTTTTCAAGTCACATGGAAAGCAGAACCCCTTTTTATATGCAAAGCAAATAAATCTCGCTAACAATTTACTAAGTAATATATTCACAAACAGAATTTAATACCAACTGCTCAATCAGGTCCCTCCCCTCATATCAAAATGATATACAGAAAATAGACATTATTTGAGGCAATTATTTATGACTTGCCAGAACAGTTTTCTCCATAATAAGTAAAAATTAAATCTGTCACAGTCTGAGAAACGTCGTACATGGTTTCAATACTACTAGACACTTTTATAAATAAAATCATATTCTACAAAGCATGCAGCCCAGGATTTCTGCATTTTCTGTTTTATTATTGCCCAGACATGTCAGGTTTATAAACTTA